CCCTCCCTGGCCTGGCCCACACACAAACACACCCTTTCACCCTTTTACTCTAACGCAACTGCCTCTCGGCCGCACCCCCCTGGCGAACCTCACTCCCCGGCTATTCAACGTAGGGGTGAGCTTGGGAATCCAACCAAAGACTCAGTTTGGTTAAGTTTGTCTTGCTGCGCGAGCGCGAACCCTTCTCTCCCTACTCCCTCCCCCTTACACACACGCGCGAGCGCGCGCGCGCCCACACACACACACACACGGTGCCGACTCACACGCTGCCCCCTCCCCACTCCCCGCCCCTGTAACTTTTCGTGTAAGACGGTCCACGCCTATAACCCGCCGCGCAGTAAACCTGTCTCCATGTGATTGTGCCGTGTGCGCGCGCTTGTGTGTGTGTGTGAGTGTGGGTGGGGCTGGGATTGTGTCGTCCAGACTCAGACCCAGCCATCCCACCACCGTGCTCCTCTCGCCGCACTCGCCACGTCACGCCATACCGTGGTGGGGGAGTAGGGGCAAAAGGTGTGCTGCTCAGCAATCTGTTGCACGCCTGTCTCGTGATGTGCAGTGCGTTATGCACGCTTGCTCTTGCTCACGTGAAAGGAGAGGGTAGGAAGGAGAGAGGACGGGGGGCGGTAGGGGGCATAAGCAAGGGAAAGGGACCGGGAGGAGTGGGGTGGGGGTGCGGACGCGCGTGCCTTGATTCGCGCAGCGTACAATGTGCCGCCCGGGGCGACCTGAAAGCCCGAAGGCTCTACGACTGCTCCGCGGAATCCTTCTCTGTGTCGCCTGCTCCCCGGCCCCTCCGCCGCCCACCCCCGCACAGCGGCGGCTCCCTTTTCAACCAACTAACTCCTCCTATTCCCCCCTAGCTTGTACACCGCGCAGTAAGAGCAAAACAATCCTTTGCCCCCTCTCCACTTCCCCGCCCCGGTCCCTCTTCTCTTTGAGTTAGACGGTTTGCACAGTGCGAGGCTTTCTGGCCTGGGCGCTCCCGGCCCCGAGCCGCCTTCGCCTTGCCAACCTAAACAGCCCCATCGGCATGTCGTGTCGGTCCTCCCCGCGCACCTTGTTGCGTGCCCTGCACCTCCCGCCGCCCGACCCAGTCACTCACGTTACGTGGCGTCACAAGGAAAAGACACGTTTTGTTTGCCCCCCTGCTTTTGCTTTTGGTCGCTCTTTTGTCGTCGCCAGTTGAATAGCCGGGCATGCGCCGGACGAGGCTGCGAGCCCACTTAGTCCGGCCAAGTCACACTGTGGCGGGGCGGGGCGCCAGCGGGAGGGTGCAGAGTGAGTGCTTTCTGATAAAAGGCCAAACTTCAGAGATGGGTCCCCCAGGTTCCCTTCCCGGTGCCTCTCGCGGCGCGGCGCGGCGGCCCCTCACCCCGAGACAGAGACGGACGCGCGGCGCGAACGGCACCGGAAACAGTTGGGCGGCGCGAGAGACGACGAAAACCGCGGTGTGAGGTCGTCGAGGGATCTTTAGTGGATTTCCTTCCTCCTCTCTGCCTCGGGGAGGAGGCGCAGGGGGCGGACTGGTTGAAAGGGAGGGAGAGAGAGAGAGAGAGAAGAGGGGGAGGGGCAACAACGACCTGCCACGCAGCGGAGAGTGACGCGTCAGAGGCGGAGGAAGAGAGACAGAGGAGGACGGGTGGAAGGAGGAGGCTGGGGGGGGGGGGTGCCTGCTACAGCGTGGGCCGGCCCATACATAGTTTCCTTAATGCCCCAAAGTTGGTGGCCCGGCCTGTCCAACGTCTCCCCAAGTCCTATATTCCCCTCTGTTCTCCCCGTGCCACTTTATCTCCCCGCCCGGAGCCCGGCGAGGCCCCTCTCCTCCCGAGTGTTCCTTCAAACGAGTGAGTGTGCCCCCGCCGGCCCCCGCCGGCCCGGCGAGAGCAGCGTAGGGAGGCCTCCCGGACAATGTATCACACGGAGTCGATCGTAAAGTCGAAGCAGCCGTGGCCGTCCACACGTTTTCCACAGTGCAGAAGGGAGGGGGAGGGAGGGTAGTTGGGGGTAGAGGGGGTTGTGACAGTCCGGGCCGAAGGGGGGCCCTGCCGCTCCACCTGCACCCGCGCGAGCCACCGGGCACGTACGGGCGGGCTGCTGCTGCCCGCCCCGCGCGCGTCTCCCGCCAGGCTCCCGGACGGCACAGGTGGTGCGCCGAGGTGCGCTTTTGTGCCCGTAGTTGCAATAACAGGTACGGGTGCTTCTATTTCTGGCGTCTAGATAGACACACGCATCCTCGTCTCTTTCGTTGGCCGTCGTTCGCATACGTTTTTGTTTCTTCATCGGCAACCGAAAATATTCTGTTTCGTTTTGCCAGTGGCATGGGTTTCGCACTGTAAAAAAAAACTTTAACAATAGTTGTTACTTGCTGAACGATCCTTCGGTTGGGGAAGTTGAGCGCACAAAAGCCCGGTGCTATTTACAAAACTTGTCCTTACACATTTAGAGTGCATGACG